TATATATATATATATATAAATCGACCACTGAAAAAAAACTGACTCAGAAAAAAAAAATAATCACACTTTTTACAGCTAAGCGTGCTTCAAAATTGTAAGCATAAACAACAGTATTTAATCAGAAAAAAATTAAATTCATAATTTTAATTATTGATGGGAAAACTCCATTTTTTAATCAACAGAAGTACATAATTTTTCATTGAAAGGACAAGATTTCGCCATGTTACATAATCAATACGGAACATTGCCGTTTGAATAGCTGTTTGAATAACCTCAAATCTACATTGTTGGGAATTTTTCATAAAAAATCTTTAATTTTAATCAGTAATAATTCATTTAATTGTTATTTTACCGTATTCAAATCAAAACAATTAGATAACCATAAAATGACGATATTCAAACTGTTAACTCTGGGAAAATTTATTAATTTTGTTTTCACCTAATATAGTTAAAAAAACTAAGACTTCATCCAACCCAATGAGTGCCGAGAGGGTTAATCGGTCAATCTCATGGCTGATAGGGTAGGAGTTCGAATCCCAGGATATAACGTGTCGACATATTCACTCCAAAAAATTTCATAAGTACTATACTCTCTAATTAGAGACTTAAATAGAGAAAAAATTAAGTTAATTTTTTTTTTTTATCAAAAACTTTTTTTCAAAAGGAATTTTTTTTAACAAAAACTATAGTATTTTCTATCGATCACGATAGATGGCACCACTGAAGAGAGACATTTTGTATCTTAACAGTAAAAATTTTGAAGTTGCTACTACTACAAAATTACTGCAGTTTGTAAACTGCAGTAATTTTGCAGTGTTTCGACTTTAAGAATTCTGTAGCGGAATAGGCCAAATCACCACAGTCTTCTAACTGCAGTTTATTTTTAGCTATTTTTGCTTTTGTTGTGAACATAGAATCCTTAATTTAAGGTAACCACACAACAGGAACTAGTAAAAATCTGAAAATATTTGATAAGAGCTAATAAATGAGAGCTTAAAAGAAGAAAACAGTAACTTAAAAATTAACTGGTTTGTATCCCTAAATCAAAATATATTAACTCAGTTATGTGAGGCGCTTCAAAAAAATTATAAAATTTTTTGTTCTGTTCAGACAAACGCAACACAAAATCACAAAATATAAAAAAAAAAACACACACACACATTAAAATATAAAAAAAGAATAAAAAGAATATATAAAAATATAGGGTGCAGAGAGAAAGAGAAATAAAACACACTTTTCGGGCAAATCCAACGCAATTAGATTGAACAGACTTTAAAATACTTTCCTCCTTACGCTTTTATAAACTTATATCAGGATGCATTAACTTCAAATCATTTATTGTTAGTTGATCCTCATACTATTTCTCAATCAGATAAAATTCCTTACAGTAGTCCATCAAAATTCTGATTATTTTTCAAATAGTCACAAATTTCAACTGCGTTTTAATGACAATGCAAGCTTAATTACTCTAAGCAGTCAAAATTCCGACGACTTTCTAGAGGAATCAAATTTTAACTGGACGGTATAACTAGTTTCATAGTTTTATGATCGCTACAAGTAATAGCTATTAATAGATTTATATTAATAGTTATTGCCCAAAGAACTTAATACTAATTAAAATTTTGACCACTTTCTGACGGGCTACACTACTAAATTTGGCCATGAGTTTTCGAAACAAGAAAGTTTTTATGCTTCACCTCTAAGATTTATAAAACACGTTTAAACCAAAAAAGAAACAAAAGCTATAAAATATAAAGGTGTTTCAGAAAATCTGATTATAAAGAGGCTGAAAGATGCACAAAAACTTATAAAGCAGCTATATTTATTCATGTTCAATCATAGTGTTTTTCATATCGTATGTTCCAAGTGATGCGCGAAATAGTGTTTGAAGATTTTCGCGAGAAAATGTGAGACCCGACTGGCTAATGCAACATTGGTGAATTTCAAAATACTGTGTCGAAGAGGTGCCCGGAAGTTGACAGTGAGGAAAATCATTCCCCGCCCACCACTAACGTCCACCCAAGAGTATTTCAGCAGCAGCAATAGCTAATGCCGGAATAGGTCTCAAGAGTGACGACACACAAACCACAGTTTTAACTCAAAGGTGCAAACACCACAGCAAGTGTTGCAACCTTAGCGTAACAATGAAGAAAATTAATTAACTGTAGACCCAAAATGGAAGAGATTTAAAAAAAAAAAGTGTTGCTGGTGGAGGCTTTTTTAAACATATTCGAGTGCAAGTGAAGCAAAACAAATTAAATAAATAATTTATAAATAAAATAATTATAATAGAAAGCTTAAAAACAAATTAATAAAAACCTTCAAAATAAAGCTCTAGCTAACCAGATTGCGTGAAAATAGTGTTACAATTAAATTTCATCCATTTAACAAATTAGAATTTCTCTTATTTTTATATTTATTAATATCTTTCTCAGCTTTATTTATAGTGTGATCCCGAATATCTATTTCTGAATAAAATATACTTTATTGAAATACATTCAGAAAACACCTATTTGTGCATTGTTGTAAATTAATGATAAGTTGTTAGCTTTTTTTAGTTGTTCGATATCATTTTTTCTTAAGCTCCTTATATAAAACATATAATTCGACCTGTTTTCAATGGATAGAGATATAGTTTATAATCATTAATTTATGCAGTTTATTTATTAGTTCAAGTTATTTCATCGCATTGATTTTTTTTTAAATTTTAAAGTACAATATTTTTGTAGCTTTAGCTCATGGCAGAGTGTTACTTACTTTTCAAAAATTTAATTAATTTGTTTGTTTTTTACATTGAAGGATCGGTTTTCCAACAATGATCTTGACGACAACTTTGTCAACAATCTATTTGGTGACATGTCACATTTGGATAGGTTGGAACTATTGATCTCTTTCTTACAAGAGGACGACTTTTATTATTGATGAAAGTTTTACATTTCAAGGAGGGTAGAAGGACGTCACAACACTTGAACTCTCTCTCAAGTTTTTGTTATATATTCATTCCGGTGTAAATAAACCTATTTTTGTAAAGTGAAGGTTGTTGGCATGATTTTTTCACCACATACACATTTCTCAATGGCGGCTCCAGAATTTATCTGTAACTGTGGGGGGGGGGGAGTTTGGGACCGTGTAGCAGCCTGCATCCTAATCATCATGAAGTTTTCTTAACTTTGAGGGGGGGGGCAGTAGAGTATCTGAAACACTCGGGACGAAAAATGAGCACATGTGCTCCTATGGAACTCGGAAAATATATATAGGACAGTGTAGAAAGTGGGCTTGAAGATAATAGAATAATAGTGCTGTTCTATTATCTATTAGATAAAGAAAATAGTGTTGTAAATATTGCAACACATCATGCAGCCCAGCTAGAAGGAACATAGCACAAATAATAAGATCGTTGTAGAAACTTTTCGGTAGACAGTGACTTTTTCTGGTGAAAACTGCTCGGCGGATAAATGGCCTTGCAAGTGAAATGCTTCTACTAAATTGAAGTACATAACACAGATTCACTACAACAATTTATCACCGTCTGCAGTGTTTGAACATATCCGTAAGGCACAAAAGACTTGAATTTTTGTCTTTTCAATGATGCATTAAAAACAGCTTCATATTGCTTTCGAAATATTATATCTTAATTCACTTTCGTAAGAGTAAAGTCGCTTCTTTCCTTCGCACTGAAGATCATCTGATTGACGGGCAAATATTGAAATCACATTTTTATTACACATATATGGTTTTTGTTTGTACTCTTCGTGTATAGTGTGGATAGAACGCTCGTCTTACAATGAGCTGACCGGGTTCGAATCCCAACGACGGCTGGTCGCTACGAATTCCGCATCCGGCTCGCACTGACCACAGTAATGACGAGAAAATATTCTCAGTGGTCGACGTATCATAGTCCCTTTGATCCAGGATCTCCCTTGTCTTCTGGATTAGGTTTAAAATGACAAGGCTACGGAGTTTGATAGTCCTAAACTCAGAATTGGGTCGGCCGTTCAACGACGGTTATAAAATAAAACAAAATCTTCATACATCATAAATAATAACCAGATTTTCCGGGATAATTCAGCTGAGTGTTATACACTTGCTTATAATAACTGAAGAATTAATAATTATCAAATAAGCCAAGAAGAACGGAATTTGTATTTTATATAAAAAGAAGAAAAATGAAAAAGAAAAAAAATCCAAAATTTATATTCATTGTCAAACCCGTCATGTGTTTTTAAGGAAGAAAAACCAATGTATTGTTTCTGCATGCTGAGGAGCAATTCGGTGGATCTTCTTCAAAAAAAAATTATTAAAAATTGATGTATTATAACTTATTTGAAATACTTAGAATCATTTTAAAAATATATTTTACAAATTTCCATCAGAAAACCCGCATTTACTCAAGCATAGATAATTGTCATTTTTTTTCCAAACACGCATCACTCTTTTTTATGCCTGTTTATTTTCATTGATGTCACGTGATAAGACATCTTCTCATTGCCTATATGTCATTTTATCATTTAAATTTTTATGGCATAGGGAGAAAAGAAGCATTTTTATTCAATGAAAATTTATTTCTTATTGCGAACAATTTATGCCTCATAAATTTTATTAAGTTTTAGTTTCAGAAATGAAATTCGCTTAACACTATTATTTCATATTTTTTTCCTAACTTTTGAGATTCTGTTATTTATCTAAACAAAGAGTAATATTTTGTGATACGATTCATTTGAAACTACGGTGAAATTATTAATAATGTATTTTTTAAAAACCTAGACATATGGTCACCCTCATCTGCAAGATAAGTGCAAGGGATGATTAAAAAATGAACTATTTAGATTTCAGGTAATGAATGAGAAAAATTGAAAGCTAAGAGTAAAAATAAAATAATGTTATAGTAGTTAAAACTACGTGTTTTCAAAATATTTGATAAATAATATGACAGCACTGAAAATCAAGATGACACGTTTTTAAATTAATGTATTTAAAAGTTTAATTCCTGGGTACACGGCGGTTGAATGGACACTGAATCGAAATAACTCTTATAGGTTTGGAGAGATTTTAGTATGGTTCTTCCTCTGAGTAGGTGAAAAAAGGGTTAAAATGATGATATTTCTTACACACATTAAATGAAAGAGTTTCTATTTGTTCTAGATTTATGACTGCTAATAGAATGTTAATTTAGAAAAATTAAAATATAAGATATAAGAGTTTTATTATTATTGAAAATGGATTTTTACTAAAATAAATTTAAAGTTCTTAAGCTTTAAATACGAAAATAATTGGTACTAAAATACAGTTTTAGGTAAAATTTTAAAACTGTTTTCGACATAAAATATATTTTAATAATGTATTCATCCCTGTTAGCAACAACCTTTCAATGCCGGATGGAAAATCAATCGAAATGGATCGGAAACAAAATGACTTGATTTTCAAGACTAACTAATATTTAATGCGCCGAAACGACATTACTTTTCGGTACCATTAATAGGTATTTAAAAAGTCTATATGAGCAAATAAAATGCAATTTTTATGTATTCTACTTACACATTTGTATTTATAAACATGATATTTTAATTAAAAAAACTAATGTCATGAAATAGAAACGTCAAAAATTAATTTTGTTCTCCGTAAACGTTAACTTCTATTTTTAAAAAAAAAAATTTATCACTCAATTTTTCGAATTTTGATCATCTTTTCTTCGATTCAGATCACTATGTGGTGTTGGTTACAAGGCTCCTTAGGTATTAATTTCACTACATTCCAAGGTGGAGCAAGAATTTTTAGGACATTCATAGATTTTGTCTGTTGGTTCGTTAAATAATGCTTTACTGAAAATGTTTTTTCAATGAAAACACATTTTATATTTTAATTACAAGGGGCAATTAGGGTATTGATTTCACAAATTTGTGATGTGGTACACGAATTTTTGAACATAAATAGCTTTTTATTTTTGTCATTCCTTAAAATAGCACACTTAAAATATTTTAACCTTTCTCTCCTTCAAATATAGCGAACAAAATGTCTCTATAAATCGTTAAAAAAAGTCGGATATATTTGAAATTCGATTCGTCAAGTTTCATCAACTATAGTGTTTTGCTATTTTGAATTACATTCTTTAAAATAATGTGAAGTTTGTATACTTCACAATTCAAAATTTTTTCGACTATAATTGAATAAAATAGTAAAAACATTAAATCATGACTAAATTTGTTTTATGCGAAATTATCTTTGGAAAAACGAAATTTATAATTGTGGGCAAAAAGTTTTCAATTCGCTTAAATAGTTTTCGAGATATGGCAAAATTTAGAAAAAATAAAATTAATCATTGCCCAAATTATTAGTAGCATATTTCCCATATTGCGGATATCACCTTTATGATATTATTATTATTCGGGGGTCTCAGAAGTAGGTTTTGTGCCTGATCTCATAACTTAAAATAGTGGCTGCACTAATTAGCATATTTGAGGTACCTAGTATGTGAAAATCCGATCGTGAGATAAAATGTAACTATACATAGTTGAAATTTGAATGTTCATGAACTGAACACAGAGTTTTGTTTTCGAAATTTTTTGCTATAAGTGTTATTTTTGCGAATTTTTTCTCATTTTTTTTCTTTACGTCACATTTTATTTTGCTGCTTAAAATCTACAAGACTTAAACATTTGAAATTAAAAATGGATGTAGAAAATGCACAAGGAGTATGATGAAGTAAAACAAAAGATATTATTCGAGATTATTAATTCGATTATTAATTCAATTATTAAGTTTTGTATTTGTAGTAAAAAAATGTTGGTTGATCTAATGCCAGCTAAAATGCAACTAAAGAGTAGAAATATAGCATGATGATAGGACCATTCTCAATAAAGCACTTAACTACAGTTTTTTCGAATTTCTTATTTGTATAAAAGTTATTGCACTTTTAAATGGTTTTTTTTTGTGCCTTTTTTCATTAAATAATTATTATTCACCCATTGTCGTAGAAAAAATTACTTTATTTCTTCTTATTGCACATATTTTGTTTTCTAAAGTTTGTTTTTTTCGAAGACAGTTGATTATTTTTTTAAAATCCTTTCATTTTGTTATGATTAACATATTTTTAAAGTGCACTAACATAAGAATATAATAATGACATATTTCATAAAAAATTTTTTTTATCGACTTTTAAGAACTTTTAAGAGGATAAAGAGTAAAGAACGGCTTATGTTCAAAGAAGCTGATTCCAAAAAAAGAAGAAAAAAATAGAATTTGACCACGGATAGGAGCTGTGCTTCCTCAGCACGACCTATATTCACTGTGTAATAACTCTCAGAGCAATCACTTTTTCATGTTTTTCATTTGCTAAAATTTATTAATTCTCAAAATACAGCAGCTGGCAATCCAATCATGGTTTCTATAAAAAATGGGTAAAGCAATTCTTCTCTCTTCATCTTAATGAAAAATGAGAAACAACAACTGGGGTTTGAGAGTGAAGCCAGCAGGGAGCCTCATAATGTAAGTAAAAAAAGTCGTAAAGGGTCCACACCACCGACAGTATTTTGGGTGTTTAACTCAATGTTGCGCTTTCTTTTGTTGTACAAAAATTTTAAGACTTATGAACTTAAAATTACGAAGGATTGTACAAAAAGCAAAGAGCATGATGAAATAACAGACAATTAATGTTCCATAATTAGACAGAGAATTATTAAACTGTTAAATTTGACGTAAATAATACTACACCGGCCACTCAACGAACAGCAGGAATTCGACAAAAAAGGCAATTTTTTTGAGAAATTCAAATTTGTTTGAAAGTTATTGCAATTTTTAAAAGCTTTTTTTTTTTAAATTTTCTCTCAATTTTTTTACGCTACCTTTTGCTTTGCCGCGCAAAAACTCTAAAATTGAAAATTTAAATTACGATGGGCTGCAGAAAAAAGTACAGGGAGTACGACGGAATGAAAAAAAAATAATATTCAACAACTCATCTGAGAATCATCCACTGGTGAGAAAACAAAATCATGTTTGGTTGATCTATAGCCCTCTGAAATGGAACAACAGAGTTGAATTT